GAGAAACCTTTGAATTTAAATTAACGTTGAAGGATGAGCGAAGGTTAGCAATATTAACTGTACTTCCAACGGGATTTGATAAAAGTTTACATGTAATATACCGATACTTTGTCTTCGTCAGCTATAATAATAAACCTTTTCCAAAAAAGTACAAGGGAAAACTTCGATGTATGCCTTGCTGATCTTTGCAGAGAGAGTAAAATAAGGCTAGTTCAGGCTGACAATTTATCTAACTGCGTTTGCATGACTTGCGGTTTCAAACGTTGAAGTGAACAACTTAAGGTTAGCCCAGCGAGACGTTCGTTGAGTCGACACAGGCAGTGAATCAGCTAGTATAAAGCAGTTGATTGTCAAATGCCTCCGAACATTTCTCCCAAATACTTTCCTGTCAACCCCAAGGCATTCTGCCTAAACAATCTGGTCTTGAATAAGTCAAGACAATGGGCAAATTATTAAAACAGACGCCGTCGAGGAAAGTCGTTCTTAGAACACCTGGCCAATTTGAATTTACACCTGGAAATTTTGCAATAGTCGTTTGCGTGTTTTTGACCGAAGTCCGCTCTCTCTTTGAGACTTTATTTTTGGGAGTCTCAACTAGTGACATATATTATTACAACAAGAGCTTTTTACAAAAAAATGTAGTTATTAAACACGGCAGAATCGATGCCACGGCCACGGGTTTTCAAATTGTCTATTGTCTATTGAGTTAATTGTATTATCAGTTGAGCAAATGACAGACTTCACGCAATAATGATTAATGTTGTTTTTTAGCCTGCTATTGTTCGACACTTTTAATAAATAGTGTTTGTTACTTTGTTCAAAAACCTAAATACGTTTCCTTAAATCTTACAGTTATATTTTGGATATAAATATATAAAATACATTAACTAATAGAGAGTAAAATTTTACGTCTCTGTAGTATAGTTACATAATTTAAAACGGCAATGTACGAACAAGACAGCAATATACAAACGGGACTATGTTTTAAATATTAGAACACTTTAGGGAAAAAACGACCATGAATTATTTTAGATTACAGTTTAGACTTTGGAATCCTAGTGAAAGATACAGGCGTAAAATTGCGCGAGAAACTGTTTGTTGTTGTTAATAACCTCTGGTAATCTAATTAACAAAACTTGCTTTGATTGGCTACTATTTACCGGATATTCAATTATCTCAAAGGGGGCGTATTGAAAAATATCAACAAAAGTCGCAGGCTCTATATAGACGCCTGTGAGCAGGCTACACGCCGGCAGGAAGAAAATATGTGCTCTGTTAGATCAAGATAATATTGTATATGTAGAATACTGTTGTTCCAAGAAATTGTTTTGAGTCAGATGTTCTAAACATTGTCCATCACTATATTTTTTTGCGTTGCGAGCGTGGAAAAACCTCTGGCACCCAGGGTACATTAACCCTTACTCGCACTAGCAATTTTCTTGGCAAATTTCTTCTCATGATACATGTAGGAACATTGATGAAAATACAATAGTAACTGTATTTTCTGTTGTGACATTTATTTGAAAAACATGATCACAGTTCTGAAGAAAGTTGCTAGTGTGAACAATAGTTACAATACAAATCGTGTAGAAAGTTGCTGGTGTGAACCACATCTTGGCAGTATCTGTTGCACGGCATCAATTAAGACAAAAGTGTTATTACTGTTATACCTAGTTGTTGTAATTTATTGCATATTATGATATTTGTTGTGTTGGTGTAGTGTACTCAGGTGAATAAGATGCCTGTGATGTTACTCTGAGTGTGTATCCACACCGGGCAGGCTTGAATACAAAAAATATGCACTGGGCAGTGTGTATCCACACCTGCCCGGTGTGGATACACACTCAGAGTAACATCACAAGCATATAGCATATTGCTTTATACCACACTAATGATCAGATGTTCATACTTTACTACAATATAATATAATAAAATGCAATACATGTAATATCATTCAATGTTAAACATCTAAAACAAAACAAAGAAGATGTAAGGATTAGAGAATTTTTCCCCTGACTATGTTACATGATGGTAATGTTATCTCCACCAAAACTATCAGTATTTATATCTCAATGTTGGCCAGATAACTATTTTAGCCAGAATGTTAAAACTGCTATACTACATTTTTGTTCACATGGCATGAAACATGGTGCTTGAAATCAGTTATCATATGTCCATACAAAAACATAATGAAATATATAAAGTAGCTACAGGAAATAGAACTAGAAAACATTTTATAGGTGGCTATTTAAGGACATAATTTTCTGACTCTCAACCAGCACTGGATAATATTCCCAAGTCAATCAAACAATTCTCAACTCAATCAAAGTATTCCAACTCAATCAAAGTATTCCAACTCATAAACAATACTTGTGCTCTTATGTAATGTGAATTGTTATTATAAGGCAATACATTAAATTCTTCCATCTTTGTTTCATCAGCATCCAATCTGTATTGTTTAATTCTTCTATATTTATTCCTCTCTTTAAATTTGTTTCTGATTGGTTAACCACTATATGGTTGTTATAACCTCATCTCCACACTCATCACCATGTTTATTCGATGTTAGTGTTGTACAATCTGTAATGTTTCCATGAGCTAAAGGTAACCTATAGTACAGCATAATAGAAATTTTATTCAGTATGTTCAATCATGTCATGTAAAAAAATTCAATATATTCTGCTACCAGAAAGTTCATCTGGAGATGCCTGATTTATGAATTACAAAACAATAATCATCCAATAACTCAATCCCAGTAGCATTTTGATAACAGCTCGCCATATAAAGATGAAATCAGTTTTATCCTTGACTGAATTAAGCTCAGTACTGAGCCGAGGTGAAGTACAACAAATATACATCAATATATGTCTCGAACAAGTTGAATTATAAACTCAGAGATCCCATCTTTTCTCAGACAGTAAGTGAATAAAATTGCCCTAGCTTAAAAATTGTCACAAATTCACAGCGAATTAGAGATGGAGTCTCGACTCTGGAGAACGAAATAATCAAATATATAAAACAAATATTTACCTTTATATGACAGTATAACTTCGACATGGCGAAGCGCTTGACTGAATTTCAAATAAACCCACTTTAAAGGCATCCTTGTTGGCGTAATATTCTTTCTTTCTTCTCATATTGTTTCAATGATTTGTTATTAATCGGATTTCACTTCATAAAAGTCACAAATCGTTGAAAATCTCTTCGAAACTGTGTATTCCCACTCCTTGTATCAACAAATATAGAATCGCGCGTATATTACGCAATCGGACTGGAAACCATGGAAACGAAAGATAAGTAGTCTACCAAAACAAAAAGAATCGCACATGCGCAGCACGGACTGTAACCCGTCTTTAAGGAATTCAATTAAAATGCTTGAAGCTTTTTAAAATAACCCTACAAACAGCTAAGTTCAGGAGGGGGAAACGATGCGTGACCGCTAATTTTAATAATTTTGGCGAGTGTCTCGCACATTGCGTGCAACGAATGTGTATCCTGCATGTTCATTCGATATGAAATCTCAACCTCGGTATTCTTTTGCTTACAGGACCACTGATGAAGATAAACGTCCAAAGCAGCAAATGGTTAGTAAAGTTACCGTTGTGTGTAGGTGGATTTTACGCAACACTATTTTGCATTAGATTGTCGTCAACTGGCAGTTATCAGAGTGAGAAATAGCGTTAACGTTCATTCTAAGTGGTAGTCTTGTAACTCAGATTTTTGTCGGAACTCTTTACTATATGTAGAGGCAAATAAACAGAACCGAGAGATAAACTTTTCCTTGCTTCTATGAACGGGAACAGTTCTGAAGTTGACCACCACATGCTGTATCGTAAGGTCACTGAAACCTACCAATAGAAATACTACCAATAGAAATACTACAAATCCTTCAGGTCTTGCAGTCACGCGAGAATATTACGTCACACTAAGAATCTGCAATCATGGTAGGCCCTATGGACAGCAGTGGAAACCACTGTTTTGAACTAAACTAAATATAACCCTTTTAAATTTTTAACTGGATTTTCAACGCGAATTTTTGAGCAACTCTGTTAATTCTTTGTTTTCTAATTTTTAGGTCACACTTCCAGTTTACCTTAATCAAAATCGTCGTGAGCTTCTCTTCACTGTTGACATGGAGTTTGCTGAACAGGGGGGTGAATACCGTTTCTATGAAAGAGGAGTTGCATTCTTGGCTTCATCTATGACTGGCTAATCTATAATTTTAACTTGATTTAGACTTATCTTTACTTATAGTTATTATTCAAAATTAATAGTGCAATTTGACTGGTTAATAAATATATTTAATTGTTCTTCTGAGGTTGTTGGCAAACCATACCAGAGTTTCTTTAGGGGCGGACCATTAGAAATCCCAGGAGGGGGAGGGGGGGGGTGTGAAAATTACCAACAAAAAAATTCGTGCAAAGAAAAATGCCTGGGAAAAAATTCGTGCAGCCATGGAGGGCATTTAAACGAATTAGAATCTCATACTTGACCTCCATCTGCCTTTGTGTTACTTGAAAACCTACTTTTAGTCGAACCTAAACCTTTGTGTTACTTTAAACCTACCTATCGCCGCGCTTTGACGGGACGATTTTTTTTGTATATAGAGCTGCTCCCAACAGTTCATTATCGTGATCGATTTATCGTGATTCACAATTGATTAAAATCGATTAATCGTATCTAATAAATCTGGACACATGTATTAAAGTTTTTATTTGACAGCCAATGGTAGCGCTAGTGACAGCAAAGAAATCGTCGAATTTGTCATTTGATCACATCGACAATACTATCCCCATGTAATTTTTTCAATCGGGAAGGAAAGTTATCCAGGTATCCTGCTATGCACGGCTGTTTTGTTGATTCCAATTATCGTTAAGAATAATGGATTCTCCAAAACACAAAAAATAATCGATTAATTGATCAATCCGGAGCAGCTCCAGATGTTTGATGTTTGTCTGAGTGTGCATCCACGCCAGGCAAGCTGAAAAGTTTTGTCTGACCACGGTGGGAGTCGGACCCTCGACCTTTGAGATACTAGTCCAATGCTCTACCAACTGAGCTACGAGGTCAAGTCGGTTCGAGCGGTGATATTTCGGAACTGAGTCTAGTATCCTAAAGGTCGCGGGTTCCATTCCCACCGTGGTCAGGCAACTTTTCAGTTTGCCCTGTGGCTGTGTGGATGCACACTCGGGTTCACTCAGAGAGTCAGAGTAACATCACAAACATATTTACTTGAGTACATAACACCTGACATAACACCAACACACAAAAAAGCTCTAGATGTATTAAAATACTCTAATGGTACAAACAAAATACAGCTATACTCGGCGCTCGTAAATCGTAATGATGATATGCCAGGTGAAAATTGTTAACACGGAATGCGGGATTTTTAAAAATAGTCGAGGGACCACGTGCAGTACAGACTGTAAGTATAGATTATAAAAGATTGTATAATAATAATAATAATAATAATAATGACTTTATTGCAGAATCCATAAAAATCGGTGGCGATCAAATCCAGAAGTGTTGGCATCGTCTTATCACACGTTTTGGTATATACCACGAATTGCAATATATACATACCGCGTTTTTAATATATACGGTATTCTGTACTACTATAATTTTTAATAAAAGTAGAAATTGTAGTATCTCTATGCACGCATGACTGAAAAAGGAACATTTACACAAATCAGTATATGTTACAAGAAACGGTATTAAGTTAACATTTTTCTGCGCTGGAATATAATTATTATTATGCAAGTAGAGGTTACTAGTAAGTAAAATAAAAAGTGAAAAGTAACAAAAATAATTAACTCTGCTATCGTACGGAGTATACTCTGAACTTCAGTCATGCTAATGCATGACACATTCCTAGCGTATTGATTTCGATTCGCATTTTATTGGTCTGGAATGTTTGAGCGTAGATTATCTACATAGCATTCACTTTACCACATTGCAAGCCTTTCTCGTGAAAATAACCACCCCGCTTCCACACTGCCTGTAACGTTTTTGTGAACCAAAACACTCGTATACAGCCATTTCAATTA